TCAGAATCACAGCAATTCAAACCACCACAGCACGACAGACAGACAGACGAGTGGCGGTTGCGTGGTTGCTGTTAAATAGGAATCTCCTTGTGCTAGGGCCCTTAAGTCTGAATTAATTATGGTACCATAAATTTACTTGATATGGCTTTTATATAAAGTCTTCTTGTTAAGTGCCATTGAGTCGGTTCCGACTCATAGCAACCCAGTACAGGGTTTCCAAGGAACAGCTGGTGAGTTTGAACCACTGACCTTGCGGTTCAAACCATCCTTGTGGCCCTATGCTTTCCTATAGCACCATACCAGGACTCCAAAATCTTCTTAAGTTCCATCAACTGATTGAGTGGGGCCATACAAATTGGGTGTATGCCGGGATTGGTTAATTTTGCCATCCCGCTAAGTTTAAAAGCAGCCATTTCAGAAGCAGAAACAAAAGACCCCAGGACCATCAAGAATGAAGAGCCATGAGAGGAAAGTGAGATCCCTGCCTGGAAAAGTGGTGGCAGAGTCCATGTCATGGAGAAGCAGAGCAGCTGTGGGTTTCCTAGCCCATGGACTACAAGCAGGAGGCTGGCTTGAAGAATGTACCCTTTGGGTATTTACAGACTTGGTAAAGGAGCTTTGTAACACTTGCCCAAGCAGGGCAGAGGATGAGGGGGCACATGGCTGAGAGGCCAAAGACAAGAGTGAGGTGGGCCTGCATTACAATAGACAAGTGTTCCTGACTACAGAACATGTGCATCCTGAGTTGTCTCTGTTGGACCCTGTTCACTTCCCTAATAAACCCCATAATCAGGAATATTGTCTGAGTTCTGTGTGACCACTGCAATGGATTATTTAACCCAGATGTGAAGCAGAGAGCTGTGGGAGGGATGGGTGGTGTCAGAAGAGGGCAAAGGTTAAAGGGTGGAGGGCATGCCTGACTTGTTTCAGAGGAATCGGCCTTGGGCAGATTTTGCATTCTCCTTCCCCATCATAAAGCCACAGGAAGTCAGACATGGCCTCCACATCATTTTACCAAGTAGAGCCAAGGTATTGACATTTTTGTGAAAGCAACTTATTCTAATGTGCAATTGGGTTTGAAAACTATTATCTGAGTTCTTAGAGGAACTTAGGGATGAACGGTTACTATAAGAAAAAGAAGAGGGGGTATCCCACCAATTCAGGGCACAGTGAGCAAAGTTGGAATAAGATAGCCTTTAAAAATGGCAGAAAGGAGACAATTTGTACAGAGTGGATAAGCATTGAACCTGGAAATGGAGACTGAGCAAGAGCCTTGAATACTAAGCCTAGATGGCTTAGTATGAATCACAGAGAGGTATTAAAGGTTCATGAGTTGGAAGCACACAGTTTTAGGGAAATGACCAAGGCCTTTAAATCCAGCTTTCAAAGGATTCTCCAGTCCCAACTCCCAACTCCAATGTCACCCTCTAACAAAAATCAGACTTGCATTTCCCCATTCACACCAGGCAAATTCTTATCTTGGAGCCTTTGTGTATACTAGAATGCTTTGCTCTCCTGCCTACCCCAAGTTCAGTTCTACTCATATTTTAAGACTTAGCTATTTTTATATGCATCCCCTGATGTCCAGGCTAGCCTTGGAATCATAGCTCTGGGATCCAATAGCTTCCTGGGATCTCCATCTCTTCCGCAGCCCTGAGGACACCATTCTTAGTTAGATGGTCATATTTCTATAACCGACCACCACACTGAGAGCTTCAAGGGGCTAAAAGATAGATATGAACTGTAGCTAAGGCCCCAGCACATAGCTGAAAGGTGGGGTTTGTAATGCCTACTGAATGCATCACAAATCCTCAGTGCTTTGAGAACATGATTTCAAAGTTGGCTTTCCTTATTCATGAAAGAAACTGCCACCAGCCAACAATGGTTGGATGGTTGAGCAGAATCACAGTCAGGAGTAAGGCCAGGGATCTGCAGAGCGCCTTACCAGACTGACTGCATCCCAGTGGTCAATGGGACGGTGGGCTGTATTCAGGTCACCCAGGATGATCACATGGCTGAAAAAGACCAAGTGATATTGTTAACTGAACATTCAAGAAAGAAAAGCAGTAGTTCTGATTTTACATACTTTTATCCTAGACCTAAGAGTTCAAGTAGGCCACCTCCTACATAGGGGCTTTCTAGCCAACCTACATCTTACACCTTGCATTTCACTTTACCAATTCTTATTTCCAAAGGTCACATTGTTTCCAGTTTGACCTTACTGCCTGAATTTATTTTCTGATCCTTCATATTTGAGCTTGGGTACCACTTCCTCTGGTATCCTGGTGTGGTGCTATAGGATAAGAGCAGGACCAAAAGGTCGGTTTGAACCACAAGGTCAGTGGCTCAAACTCACCAGTTGCTCTTTGGGTTGAAACTGACTCAATGGCACTTAACAACAACAAGCACCACTTCCTCTAGGAATAATCCCTTGAGTACTCTAGTCAACCCTCACATATGTCCTGTCCCTCCTTGGTACTCTTGCAGTCTTCCCTGATGAAGACTTTAAAGTTTCCCGCAAGTACTTTACCTTCCTTTTTGGTATCTGTTCATTAGTCTCTAACTGTCTGCGCACCTCCATTGTGGTGACTGGAGGGGATGCCTGAGTGAATGGACACCCCACCACCACCCCTCGAGGGTTCTACTAGACATGTGCACAGATCTCCTCGAACTACAAAGTGATAGTTTCCACTTAAAACCAAATGGCCACCAATCATCTGTCAGTTTGTCCTACTGTGGTGGTTTGTGAGTTGCTGTGATTCTGAAAACTATGCCACTGGTATTTTATATACCAGCAGGGTCACCCATGGTGAACAGGTTTCAGATGAGCTTCTAGACAAAGACAGACTAGGAAGAAAGACTGACGAACTACTTCTGAATATTTAGTCACTGAAAATCTTATGAGTAGCAGAGAAACACTGTCAGATATAGTGCTGGAAAATGAGTCCCTCAGGTTGGAAGGCACTCAAAATGCGACTGGGGAAGAGTTGCCTCCTCAAAGTAGAGTTGACCGTGATGACACAAATGGAGTAAAGCTCGTGGGAGAAAAGCCCGTGGGACCTTCATTTGCTGATGGGGCACAACTCAAAATGAAGAGAAACCGGTCCATTAAAAATCAGAACATGGAATGTATGAAGTATGAATCTGGGAAAATTGGGAGTTGTCAAAAATGAAATGGAACGCATACACATCGATATCTTAGGCATTAGTGAGCTGACATGGACTGGTATTGGCCATTTTGAATCTGACAACCACAGGGTTTACTATGCTGGGAATGACAAATTGAAGAGGAATGGTGTTGCATTCATCGTCAAAATGAACATATCCAGATCAGTCATGAGGTACAATGCTGTCTGTGATAGGATAATATCCATGTGCCTACAAGGAAGAAAAGTTAATATTACTATTATTCAAATTTACGTACCAACCACTAAAGCCAGTGAGGATGAAATAGAAGAATTCTACCAACTTCTTCAATCTGCAATTGATCAAATATGGAATCAAGATGTATTGCTCATTACTGGTGACTGGAATGCAAACGCTAGGAGCAAAGACGAAGGATCAGCGGTTGGAAAATATGGCCTTGGTGATAGAAATGATGCTGGAGAATGTATGACAGAATTCTGCAAAACCAATGATTTGTTCATTTCAAATACCTTCTTTAGACAGCATAAGAGACGACTATACTATACACATGGACCTCACCAGATGAAATATACAGAAATCAAATTGACTACATCTGCGGAAAGAGACGATGGAAAAGCTCCATATCATCAGTGAAAACAAGGCCAGGGGTAGACTGTAGAACAGAACATGAATTACTCATATGCAAATTCAAACTGAAGCAAATGAAAACAAGTCCATGAGAGCCAAAATATGACCTTGAATATATCCC